TTTTAATGTTTATAGTAGATAAGAGTAAATTTTGGGTCCTAAATAAAAATAATGTTTTTAATAAAATTTAAAAAATAGGTTAGTTTTTTTTTTTAAATAATATCAAATAAGAATAAAATTATTGATTATATTCTTCCTCTTACATATCATTCATCAGCAGCACCACCCTCCCCTTCTGTCCAACACCACCACCACCACCTCCACCTCCACCTCCACCTCCGCCTCCGAAGAGGCAGCAATGCGGTGCTGGTCTACCGTGCATGCATCCACCACCACCACCTCCGCCCACCTCTCCGCCTTTGCCTTTACCCAATGCAGCAACGCTGGATAGTAACTGAAATTCAAGTAACTTCTTGAACTTTCAAACCTAGAAATCCAATCAATTTCAACTCCAAAGAACTACTCCACGTTGAAAAAAGTTTTACAAAAGAAAAAAAGAATAGTAGTCACTTGGCAGGAAAAGCAAAAGAAAAATTGTGCTTACAGAGACGAAAATTTTTGAATTTCAAGAGATCGATAGAGATGTTGAATCGACGTTGGTCGTCTGAGAGCCATTTGCTATTTGAAATTCTGCTAAAGAACAAGGTGATTCTAAAAAACTTTCATTCAGCTTGTGATCTGAATGCTATGGTTGGCCATCCCTTGCCCGAAGCCTTCTGGAAGAACATTGAAACACCTTGTGAGAACTAAGAAATAGTTCGCACCTGCGAGAGCTTCCAAAAGTGATGCAGTCGAAGGTTTTTGTTTGAAGGGTTTAAGAAGGAAGGATATCGTACTATGTTACATATTTAGAACGTTAGTGCAATGTGCAATCGTTGACCCTGATTTTGAGATACACATATTTGAACCATCAGATGGTGGGCGGTGTTGGGCAGAGGTAGAGGCATTGCCGGAGGTTGTCAGAGGCGGCGGCGGACGAAAACACTGATGAATGATTTGCAAAAGGGAGAAGATGAATAATAATTTTACCTTTATTTGATATTATTTTTAAAAAGTTAACCTAATTTTTAAATTTTATTAAAAATAGGAAGAGTGACAAATAACCCCAGGGTCAAAATTCATAAACTCAAAGTACATTTGGGGTAGGTGCCAACTCAGAATTGATGCCAATTCATGGGTGGGTATAAGTGCATAGAGTGTGGTTTTTGGATCTTCTAAATGTTTATAGCTTTGCGGAAATCTGCATTAGGCCTGTTTGTACTTTTCCATTAAAAATATTACTTTTATTGGTATTATGGCCTAAAAAATTACCTTTATCTGCTATAATCCCCATTAAATAAGGTGACTTGAACGGAATAGAATCTACTCACCACATATGGGCACCTCACACACACATCCACGTGCATTGAGAACATCTTCTATGAATAATAACTTATAAATACGAAAGATGTTTTCAATACGTAAGAGAATGTGCGTGTGTGAGGTCAGTGTGAGACACCCTGTGGAAGGAGCAGATCCGGTCTTGAACATCCACCATGAAAAGGCCAAAGTATGTTTTGCTTCAAATATGTTTTGCTGGAGCATCCAATATCCCAAAATATGTGTATTCTCACTTATATTTATATGTGAAAGTAAAATATAAAGGTAGGTATCAAATTCCGATTGTCTGAGCTTTACATGTCGAAGATGATTAAGGAAAGTGAAAACAGTCTTTGAAAAAAGAAAACTCATCATTAATTGGGGTGGTTAACGGGATGGGGATGGGCTACCCCACTCCTGTAGGGGTGGCTGAATTGTTTTCTCGTGACTGACATGGCCCCTTCTTCATGGTGGACTTTCATGATATTTTGTCCATAATTTCTTTTTTATATAATTAACTCTATTTATACTCTGGGGAAACTAATATGCATGGTCAGATTAAATCAAAATCTGATCCAAAGTCCAAAGTATCGGAATACTTGGATCTAACGGAATCCAATCCGGATCGGATCCCATTACAGACGTAATATTGCAATGAAGGTAGGTTATCTGCCAGGTGCCTACTAGATCTGGTCCCATTACCAATATCGCGAGTTTAAATCAGTCCCTCACAAGACTGCCCCTTATAAAGTCCTACAGCACATCTTCACCATATATGATGACATCATCCCAGTTATTATCATCAGGAGATGTTTCGAATACCGGCGGGAATGTAGTGTGGGACGTTGTGGGGATGATTCAGAGGCAACTTTTTGTCATGAATATCAATAAAAAATAATATTTTTATAAAATAATTAAAATAAAATAACTTTTAAAAAATATATATCAAAAAAGAGGAAGACGATGAGATCATATTTTTTTGCCCTGAATAAGGCCCTTATCTGCTAGAAACCCATTACATTATCCATGAGACCATGACTATGACTATGAGTGAATAAGTGATGGATGGAATGACTCTATTCGCCTCTACAAGAGGAGAGCAAGACCCGATGGATGGATGCCCTTTTAGTTGCAGAGTTCTGGTTGTAACCAAAAAAGAAAATTTTCATGTCTGTCGCTGATGGAAGTTACGGAACAGCGGCCGATCCATATTCCGATTACATGATTGTTGTATCTACGATAAAAGTGCAATTTCTTCGGACATCGTCGGTATTAGACTACCACACACCTAATTAATAGCATTTCCTCCTAACTCCTAAGTCCTGCTTATAAGGAGCTTTTACTACTTTACTAACTACAGATTTGCAGTGGAGAATCCAACACGTCGGATTTATTCATGCCTAGTTAAAGAAGACGATGAATCCGACGGTGCTGAGATTCGGAAAATTTTGGACGAGCACAATGGAAAAAAAATGTAAATTTGAGAAATAGGAGGTAATAGAAAATCTCGCGTTGCCGGTGACGTTGGGAACAGTCTGTGGACACTCTCCGTCGATGTAAAGTGGACCTTTGTTAGACCAAGCGTTCAAGATCTGCTGATAATCAAGCTTCAACGACAGGCGGCCTTGCAGCGGCTGATTCTGATGGTGATACGCCCATGGTCATAGGTCAGCAGCGGCGGCACAGCTACTAATTTCTTCGTCCTTAATCTCCACCACTCTGAATAGAATACCCACCTCTTCTCACTAGCATTCCTACCCTGATGATGCCTAACGCCGTGCGAGCAAGCGAACTCGCTCCCTCATCACTATTATGTGTCCCACGGCTATAGGCATAGGTTAGGGAGGATGGGGACAAGGAGTCCTCATCAAAAGACAACACTACGCTACTCCCATCCCCGGCACACCCGCCAAGGAGACCGTTCAAGGTTGCTCCGCCTCTGTCGTCGTCGTGGAAGAAATATTTCACGTTGTGTTGATTAAGAACGTCTTTCTCTTGTAAGAGATTTTGTGGGTGTAATGGAAAAAGGTTGAGTTGAGGATGGCTCATTTCGCAGGATTCCTGTGATTATTCCGGTAAAATTTCTCTCGAGAGAGCAGTAGAGGAAGACGATGAACTGTATTACTGCCATTCTTCGATATTTTTCTAAAAGAATTACCCTATTTTAATTAGGCAAAAAATTGCCCTTATCTGATATAACCCTTTATCTTATTCAAGGTGGGCCCATGAAAACAAACCAAAGGCTTCGATTTGATTGCTTGAGCGCAGGGCTACATGTTTTTGCCACCACATAAAATCAAAGAACTTGCAAGCCTGAGAACACATGTTAGAGTCTGAGGGTAAAGATCAAACCATGCATCAATATGGACGATACGTTGCTCCATTCTGAACTTCGAAAGAACTAAGCTTATGTTTGGTTGTATGGGAGTTTCCTTGAGAGGTGGTTTTTTTAGATAAATGTTTATCTGCAAAAAGTTATTTTAAACATTTTTTGCTTTTTCCATTTCAAGTGACATTTTGCTTTCCACCTCAAAAAGAGTGTGTCACATCACCATTTTAATTCAAGAACGTGAATTTGATACATACTCAGATGCCCTGTGCACATAAATCAAAAAATGTTTCAACTTTGTGGTATTTATTTGATAAATGGTAAAACCAATTAGTGATTATGAATCCCTATTTGACACTGATGTGATGTGATGGTGTTTTTTCCGATAAAAGCTCATATAATATACTAAAGTATTTCAAACCATGAAATATGTTATTAGGAAGGTGAAGCTTTTGAACATCTTCATACTCCCAGCTTCAAATATTCATGTATTGTCCACCTTGAAAATCGATACACTGTACAATATTAAACCCTAGATAACAGGGAATCAGGACGCAACTGCAAAATTTTGAATGGCACCGAACCCAGCAGTAGAAAATGTTTGAATTGCACTCGCACCCATAACTTAAACCAACATTGGGTAATAGCCTTTGGTTAAAGACCGAGACTTGGCCAATCCAATAATGACTGCACCAAACCTCTGCTCCAAATTCTCGACTTAGAGTCCCAAATCCAAGAAGTAGAGATGAAGTAACACTAGTTGTGACAAAAATTCTTGTGGCAAAGACTTTAAATCAGCAAAAGGCAAAGGGAACAGTAGAGAAGTAGAGGGACAGAAACACTGAAAATGTAGCAACTGTACCCTAAAGAAAATGAATTGGACCCCATTTGAAGTGTCGTTGTTTCCCGCTAACTGTTGTTATCTTTAAGCTTCGTCATGTCTATTTCTTTTTATTGTATTATTATAGTGGATGGGATCAGTCACTATTAACTAGCTAGCTAGATAAAAACTGATGCTTCCCAACGTTCTAATTAGCAATTACACTACACATGTCATCGCTCAAAATTTTTCAAAAAATACAACAAAGCAGACATGACCTTTCCAACAGCAAATTTTGTCTCTTACTATCCTCTCTTCACTTATTGTTACAATTTATTTTTGTTTTAAGATTCTTTCTCCCAGAACTCCTTGGAAGCTTGTTAGTTAAATATATATGCACCACAACCCAACCCATCCCCATCCGACTTTGGGATACTTTGTTGGGGTGGATCGATCGAGTAGTGAAGAGAAAAACATAAAAGAAATATGGGTAACTGCTCTCTCAAAGGGGTGGTGACTGGAAGTGGAAGAAGTAGCAATCTTATCCGAATAATGACGGATTCCGGGGGGATCATGGAGCTAGAAGGGCCGATGCTAGTTCGAACCATTGTGAGTGATTATCCCGGGTATGGAATTTTCCGGCAGGGTCACATATCGACGCCCTTGTTCCATCATGATCTGCTTCTTAATGGTGAAGTGTACTATCTGCTTCCTCTCAAGATTAATGAGACAGGAGCTCCAAACGGCAAGCTCATTAGGGATCAATTGAACAGCAATAGGGTTGGGTCGTTAAGGTTACCTGCAGGGACGCTTTCTGATCTGGTGTTCAACTCCACCATGGAGCCTGCAGCTCTCCAAGTTCTGCCTTCCCCAGGAAAGGGTGTTTGGAAAGTGAAGTTGGTGATCGATACCAAACAATTGGAGGAGATATTGTCGGAACAGGTCAACACAGAGGCCTTGATCGAGAAGATGAGGACGGTTGCAAGCTTGTCCACTGCCGCCCCCAAGCGAACTAAGGGCGCTTGGAATGTCACCTGGAGACCAACTCTCTCTGGTGCGTGCAGAGTGCCGCTTGAGGACCTCATCATGTAGAGAATATATGTATATGAATGCTGATTGATTTGCTGCCTGCCTCAACACCTTTCATTCCTTGGGTTAATGGCCTCAAGGCTGAAGTAGGTCTCTGTTCATTGCGTACTACATCCCTTCAACTACGTACTATAAGATATATTTCCAAAGAAGCCACGGATATATAGATATTACTGTTAGTTTTCTCATCTGATGAAAGTGAGTGAATAGATGGAGCTTAGCTAGCTACATGCTCTACCACTTCTGTTGTACATAGCGCGTTTGTTGTTGCGATGGTGTGTTCTTTTGTTAATTTTTTTTCAATCCTTCCGTGTATCGTTTTCCTGTGGCTATTGCCTATAGTCGTCTGATCTCTGAACTCGTATGTATTCCGTAGACGCATATGGTTAGGTTACCAACTAGATTGTTCTTTCTCGTTGTTCAATCTCTCAACTGGGCAGACGTTTGGTACAAATTAACAAGTCCTCGCTAATATCTTTAATTTCTTTCTTAACTTTCTTTAGGCGAATTCTAGCGCCAAACCCATTGATTACCCTATTTATGTTTTGCTTTTTTGTTGTTAATAAGGTTCGTTTTGCTAGTATTGCTATTACTCTAATTCTTAATTAATCACAATAGCATTAGCAGCTTTCTGATCAATTGATCATCGCCAGGCTTGAGGCTCCAGCTATCCAGTTCTATATCTGCATATTGGGCCTCAACAATAAGCCCTGTCGCTGTCCAAATAGCTGTAAGCCTGGGGTTACCCCACAGGCTAGTCCTGGCCACGTGCACCCCGTCAATAATGCTGATAGATGGGTTGTCCAGAGGATGTACAAATACAATACAAACATTGCAACTTCATTCATTTCAGATCATCACATTTTGTTTTCTGGTGCAACTTGGAAGAAGTTTACTATTTTGTACATTATGCTTTTGATGAACACCAAAAAAATAAAAATAAAAAAGAAGAAGAGATCGTACACAGTACAGACACAGATGCATGAGATTCTGTGTAGAACTGTAAACTCACTCAATTATTAGAAGAAAAATGAACATACGATTTGCCTGTGTGAGTGGTGTTTGTTAAAAAGAAATGTGTAGGACAAAACACAGGAAATGAAGGGAAGGTAGGTTCTGTACAAGTCTTAACCTTCCATCTTCAACCAACCCTTCTTTTGGATGGATAACCTTCACTCGTTTTCATGATTTCATCTCAAGAGAATGCTTTGAATTGGCCACAGTGAACCACCGTTCATTGCATTGCATTGAAAGTTGGAACCTACCGCTCCCCTTGTTCACATCACTGTGTGGCTACAAGAAGCAGCCATTAGCTTTATACTAGTTTCAAATTCAATATTGAATTAGTATCCTGATAGAGTTGGTCCTTGGTGGGTCTGTCATTGATTAGGGAATCTTATATACTTACTAATTAATCCATCACAGCAGCAAGCATCTTTGTATTGGCAGTGTCGAGCATCATTCTCTGCTAACTGCTACTTGGGGTCGTTTAACAAACAAAACAAACAATCAACGAAAAGCTCCCCCAATTACCTCTGTAAATGGGACTAATAGATCTATCAAAAACCGTGTCATTGAATAAACTTTCTTTCTCAAACCTTCCTTGGACGGTAGACAACAAACCCACGTCATCCTTGTTATCATGTGAAGAATCTTACACTCTGTCTCTCCTCTTACTCCTGATTTTACATTACTACTTAAACCTCTGCCATTGTTTCGCAATTTTATTCTGAAACCTACTCGGCCTCGAGTCCAGATCTGCTCCTCACAGAGCATTCTTCACACCAAGTGTTGTTGGCATTTTTCTCCCCATATGGGAAAATTAGTTACCCAAATGGAAGATGGGTATCACTTAACTTACCTGAGTAAATTATACGCAGGAAAAATAAATTTTCCATAGACCCCACATAAATTTGAAAATAGAACATGTGTATTTTGGTCAATAAGAACTAAGGCCTTATTTGGATAGACTTTTCGAAAGTGCTTTCGTACAAAAAACAGCACATCGTGTTTGGGTAGCATACTTCCTACTTTGACTTTCATGCTTTTTAAAAACACAAAACCCCCTTAAAAGCACAAAGTTGACTTTTATTACTTTGTGCTTTTGGGAAAGTTTTGCTTCCATTTTGTGCAACGTGTGACCACCCTTTTGAGAAAACCCCTCAATTAAGATTCAAAATATCGATATGCCCGACATGCTGGTATGGGCGTATCAAGCGAATCAATATAGCTTTTGATGCCTTTTTTTTTTTCACAACCGGTTCAGGGGGGCCGATTTAGGGTTCCTCCACCCCATGAATCATTCAGACCCCCAATACACCCACTGTATGGGCATATCGAAGGGGTCCCGAAATGATACGTATCGGACAATACATGTCAACACTTTGAACCTTGCCCTCAATCGAGACTCCCCCATTTGCTTGTTGTCTTCAAGCCCTAACCTCTTTGCCATTGTGGGTTCTTTCTCTATCGTTGCCCATCTCCGACCACCATTGCCACCGAAAATTATCACCAAAATCGCAGGTATGGATCCCAATTTCATATGTTCCCCCATTTTTTCTCCACTTCATGCACTATCTTCAAGATTAATGATATGTTTATTACATGTTGGCCACCACTGGAATCATTGTTGTTGACTTCTTCATTTCCTAAACTACTTTTGAAGCTTAATGGAATGTATATTGCTTATTTGCTGTACTGTTACAGATAGCATTCTACCTATACAAAACCAATCATGAACTGGAGTGTTATATCTATAATACCAATATAATGGAATGTTTATTGCATGTTCATCAACTGTCTGGGAAAAATAAATTTTCCATAGACCCCACATAAATTTAAAAATAGAGCATGTGTATTTTGGTCAACAAGAACTAAGGCCTTATTTGGATAGACTTTTCGAAAGTGCTTTCGTACAAAAAATAGCACATCATGTTTGGGTAGCATACTTCCTACTTTGACTTTCATGCTTTTTAAAAACACAAAACCCCCCTAAAAGCACAAAGTTGACTTTTATTACTTTGTGCTTTTGGGAAAGTTTTGCTTCCATTTTGTGCAACATGTGACCACCCTTTTGAGAAAACCCCTCAATTAAGGTTCAAAATATCGATACGCCCGACATGCTGGTATGGGCGTATCGAGCGAATCGATATAGCTTTTGATGCTTTTTTTTAATTTTTTTCGCAACCAGTTCAGGGGGGGCGGTTTAGGACTCCTCCACCCCCTGAATCGGTCAGACCCCCAATACACCCACTATATGGGCATATTGAAGGGGTCCCGAAATGGTACGTATCGAACGATACGTGTCAATACTTTGAACCTTGCCCTCAATCGAGACTCCCCCATTTGCTTGTTGTCTTCAAGCCCTAACCTCTTTGCCATTGTGGGTTCTTGCTCTATCGTTGCCCATCTCTGACTATCATTGCCACCGAAAATTATCACCAAAATCGCAAGTATGGATCCCAATTTCATATGTTCCCCCATTTTTTCTCAATTTCATGCACTATCTTCAAGATTAATGATATGTTTATTACATGTTGGCCACCACTGGAATCATTGTTGTTGACTTCTTCATTTCCTAAACTATTTTTGAAGCTTAATGGAATGTATATTGCTTATTTGTTGTAATGTTACAGATAGCATTCTGCCTATACAAAACCAATCATGAACTGGAGTGTCATAGCTATAATACCAATATAATGGAATGTTTATTGCATGTTCATCAACTGTCTGTCTACAAACTGTGGCATGTGTGTGTATCGTTAATGTATACAAGTGGCTAATCATGGGTAATATGGCATTTGTCATGTGTAAAATCAGATGAATCACATGAGTGATTGTGTGCTTTTGTCAAATGGGAAATGATTCTTCTGTTTTCTAAAGCATACTTTACAAAAATTTTTTACCCTAACAGTTTTCATAACAAAAATACCAAAGTAAAAGTTGTTTATGTACTTTGTACTTTCATACTATTAAAAATACAAAAATAAAAGTCTATTCAAACATAAAATCCCATTAACCAACCATCCCCCTTTTCAAAATCCAAAATACAAACAGGCCCTTAAACACATGTTGCAGAAACCAGAAATTAAAAGCAACGGACAATAGCTTTGTCACTTGTTTAAATAATGAACATAATAGAAAAAAACCAATTAGAGCACACCACTTTACATCGAGTTGGTATTTTCAAACCCTATCTCTTAACAGGGTTTGTTTGTTAACCGAATGAACCCAAATTGCAACTGGTCTAACCAAATGGGTCAATAATGGTCGATGGATTGCAAACATTGTTCAGTATAATGAATTTTTTTATCTACTAATGGACAACCAATAAGTCAATTCAGCCCATACGTAGTTATCTAGCGGCTGCTCATTAGTGATTACATTATAGTCTCTCGTTAAGAGGTAAATCAAGGATAAAAACTTCCCTTTGCTACTCAATAATTTTGTTATATTACAGTGGCATTCTAAATGTGTGTAATGTTATTAATGCACGCGACTTCGTGTAAGGACTATGTGTGCCTTACGCATATTTAGACTACGTTTGGTTTGAAGGAAAAGGTAGGAAAACCTATACAAGGTTTGTGAAAGTTTCTCCAACTTTCCCTTCCTTTCCCTACTTTTTTCTTCAAACCGAACAAAGCTTTAGAGATTGTTCGACAAATGATTGGCTTTACTTTTCAAAACAAAAAACAAGTTTTACATCAGCAAAATTAAGGCCCCTTTGGAAGGGCTGAAGCTTTGGTTCGAGACACATTTATGGGTGGCATCAACCGATAAAGTGGTGTATATAAACGAGACAGACACAGATTTGCCCATATTCCTTTCTCTTCTGTGTAATGTGCCATGCAAAATAATCTGATAATTTCTCTGGCATGCGGCTGCGGGTTACTAGAACTCTTATCGAATCGAATGCTTGCACATTAGCCGAAGATACCAGTTCAATACAACGAGTGACGCTAGCCCGGAAGGAACCAACCTATTTCCTTGGAATAAAATTTTCCCATCCACAAAGCCAACAAAAGGATGATAGTTTCATGTGGCGATCTCTTATACAACCACCACCTAAGTGACTAAACCAAAAACCTGAACATACACAGACTAGACTTTTCAAGGACAAGTTTCAAGGCTTACTTACAGCTTACAGGATCCCCTTTCATCATTCTCTCAGCATTCAAGGCAAGGTCAACACGTCTGTCACCTCAAAATGGGAAGGTGAGCCTTGGCCTCACCTCAACCTTGACTCCATATTCTTGATGGCGTCTTCAATTGCAGGGACAGCCTTCCTGAAGGTTGTCCATTGTTCAGTTGTCAAGCTAATTCCTGAAATACAAAAGAAGCATGCGACTTTAGCATCAACATTTGGTACGTATAAAATAAACAACTCTTCTCAACTGGACCTGCAGTACACGCCTAACGCTCAACTTTAGTCTTCATTTAATGGGTACAGCTTCATTAAATGAGTCATCACTCATCAACAAGAAACCAGTCAATCAGAAATGTTGTCTTTTTATTTTTGATGAATGTCAATCAGATTGTTAGCACGTTAGAATCCAATTGAGTGATTTTCTTGAGGCATAATGTCAATCAATGACCTCAGCCATTCCAATAGAAAAATATTTTCTTTCCTGGTCATCCACAGAGATTGGTACCTTATGGGATGGGCCAGTCATCAAGCATGATTTGGACTAAGCCGTCTCACAGGAAGATGCCTAATCATGCAATCCCCACCGGCCCCATCCTCACTCTCCCAAGAAAAATTAATAATAATAACAATAATAATAGTAATAAAAATGATAATGATAATGATAATAATAATAATTAGTGATAAGAAAATGAAAGAAAAGAGAGGGAAGGAGGTGATCGAGAACAGAAACTTTATTAACAGGGGGAAAAGAAGACTTGAAGACGACCTTCCAAAAAAGGAGGTAAACCATAAATACAAGACCCATAAAAAAAGATGCTATCCACAAAAAATTAATTTTAGTTTTTGAACATGCAGAACATAGTACATGTTTCAATTTTCAAAACCATTTACATGCAAGCATCAGATATCCAGATTCCAACAAAATTCACAAGAACAACGACAACAACGACAATAATAATAAATGAACAGGCATGTGAGAGGGAGAAGACAAACGGGGAAAAACATGAAGGCTTCTGGAATTTGGTAGACCACTGGCACCAAACCACTTTACTACCAGAGAGAGGGCCTACATTAGAATTCCATGCTCAACTAGAAAGTAGCCATGCTCCCTCTGCTTATACACCACTAGGGAAAAATAATACTCTAATGCAGATTGAAACAATCATAATTCCCAACCAAATGATAACTTGACATGCATTCTCAAACCCAAAGAAATAGCTTGATAAACCATTTAGTAATGAGTAATGACAACTAAAAAACTCAGTATTATACAAGTTACCCACTTCAAGGAAACCATAACCAATCTCCATTTGGTGCTACTCTAGAGAAACTTAATTATAATAGCAGCAGAGCCATAAGCAATTTGAGTATCATCACTATTTGAGAAAGTGGGGAGGGGTGATTAGAGATGGATTCCCCTCGTATTTTGAACTCTCTTTCTTCTTCCCCTAACTTGTTGGGGTGAAAGTGGGGAGGGGTGATCATCTGAAGATTTGAGGCTTAAGGAGTCATACACCTTTATTCTTTAGCTCATTGCTCCCAGCCTCAAATGAATTTCAAGGTTCAACACTTGAGTCTTAATTTGCCTAAGAAGGAAAGTCCAGAGCATTTTGTCTCCCCTTGCTACCGCCATTGCATGGGCTCCTGCTCCTACACCATGTGGATTGACAGGATCACATTCTAATAGTAGCTCCCAAAGAATCCCAGCACCATTGGGCACAAGTTTGGTATTTCATAAACCTGATGGATGTCTTCTATAGGCTTTTAGTGACCCCTTGATGATGCAAATACTCCAGAAAAGACCTATCTTGCCCTCTTACAGAATTTTGAATTGCTAGAGGCATGGTTTTAATCCTTACTAAAGAGGCAAATGTTTCATCTCTGGTAATGGAAATCAAATCAGTAAATGCCACAATGTGAAGCCTAAGTGTGGGAAGAGGCTCATGGTGCCTTGCTCATTACCAAAATAAAGTCAGGATCTTATTGTTTCTTTTTTGAGAAGAAATAATGAAGTAAGAATCTTTGACTACTATCGCATCTGATGCTAGACAGATTCCAAGAGAAGTCAATACGGTGGGAAAAGGGTAGCCACCAGACCTCAGGTGCAAAAGGGATTTAGTGACATCTCTTTACCTACCATTACCCTTTCTTTAAAAACGGGAAAAGGGAAAAAGATATTTGTGAGGACTGCTATTCCATGATTTGTTTAGAACAAAAGAAATGCCAAAATCCACTATTAGGTAGAAACAATCTTTGGAAATTCAAACTGGCCTGATTGCTATCTGGGTGGCACTCTGGATTGTGGACCTGCAGCGAAGGAGATTTTGAGTTCTCTATAGATAATACAGTGAGAGGACAGGACAGTCCCACTCAGCTGTGTCATCAACTTCAAAATCTCTAGCGTTCGGTATTTGGTCTTCACCCATCCAAGGGGTAATCAAGTCAAACTTTCATGGTTTCTCTCCTGGCATCTGATATTAAATCCTTACTTCAGAGGCTGAATTGATATGTTCCATGGTCTATTCTCAGGTATAGGTCAAGGAAATTCATAAGTTGTAATTGGCTGTATGAGGGATGAGGAGGGATTGATTAGCTATTTTTTCTTTTTGATCAGCAAGAGTTTAATTAGCTTTTGAGACATTTTATAAGGTAAGTGAGATATTTGGCAGATAGAGAGAACATTTTGTTTTATTGTATCCAAAGATCTCATAACTTTCCAACTGACCGATTGGCAAGGACGGTGCAGATATTGGGTATGGCTCTTAAAGGCATCATAGGTTCTGACTGGTATTGAGACAGTCTCCTTGTACACTATTTGACATGCAGGAAGGCATGGGTTCTGCATGTCATATTAATGCTGAATAGAAAAGATAAAGAGTCTGTTTTATGTAGTTTTTTTGCACGAGTTAAAGCCTCTAATGGAATTGAAGTATCAGTTTTATATACTAATAGATATTGGCTTCATGGTTGTGGCTTCTGTCGTTCCAGTCATGGAAGGTCCAGTTTTTTATCGTCTTCTTTTACTTTCCCTTACTCTTCTTTGCATCATGAATAGAGTTTATGAACATGAAGAAGAACCCAAAAAGTTTTTTTTTTTTTTTGTTGAGAAATGGTTAAGCAATTTTATTAAAACTGATCAAGAGATTACAACAGCAGCCCCAAAAAAGGAGCCGAACACACCAGAACAAAGCTCAAGAACAAATTACAAATCTAGCAAACTTCTAGATCTCATCTGAGCACCAGAACCGAGGTCTGGAGACCTTTAGCAGCCGCCAAGGTTCAAAATATCAATACGCCTGATACGCCGGTAGGGGCGTATCGGGCGTTTCGATACTTGTTTTTTTACTTTTTTTTTTTTTTCAAAACTGGTTCAGGGGAGCCGGTCTAGGACCCCTCCATCCCCTGAATCTTTAACTTTATTCTGGAAGATCCTTCTATTTCTTTTAGACCAGATAATACTAATCACTGCTGCAGGAATGGCACTCCAAACACTTTTAGTCAGCTTGGATAAACCTTGTAGATCCCAAATCCATAGCAGGTCTATAACAGAATTCGGCATGACCCAATTAAGACCCAAGGCAGAGAGAAAATGTCCCCAAATAACAGAGGAAACAGAGCAATGAATGAACTCAGGTGGCTGCTATCCTCTTCAACTTGACCACACAGAACCCAAAAAGAATTTGTATGATCCTAGCCTCCAAAATAATTGGTACTCTTTTGGAGTATGTCAGTAACTCTATTTGATGACCCAATAGGAATCAAACTAATACTGTGGTTAGGATCATAGTATAGATTAAGTATACTAGCTTTTACAGCCCAACAAGAATTGGTCGATGATAGAACAAGGCCAATTGATGAATGAAAAATACCTGATAGAGAGATCTATTAATTAGACACTTTCAAGTGACCATCACTTTTGTCAAGGAGTTGCCTAGTCACCCACCTAGGTTGTTGCCTAGGCTGCTAGGCACCTTTGGTTGGACACTTAACCTGAATACCATGACTTGTATCAAAAAGGCACCTTTCTAGGGGACAAGGAACCCACCTAAGTGAAAAGGCACCAGCCTAGGTGACAAAAACACAAGGTGAGCACTTATCATGGTTGAGCCTTCCAAGCCACCTTCAAGGAAGCAGCACGCAGATGGTTCTCTACGCTCCCTCCTCGGTCCATCAACTCCTAGGACCAATTTGCTGACCTCTTCCTTGCCCACTTCATCAGCAGTTGACGATGCCAGAAGGTCGTCGTATCTCTCACATCGATCAAGCAAAAGCGCAGAGAAAGCCTCCAAGCATCATCGACCGATTCAAGCGGGAAGAGCTTGAAGTAAGAGACCTTGATCCCTCGGTGTCCATGCACGCAGCTATCAATGGCCTCCGGCCCAAACCCCTCAAATGGTCCATCTCCAAACTCGCCCAAGAACAAGGCAAAATTCTTGAAGAAGGCACAAAAATACATTGTTGCCGAAGAAGTCGAGGCTAGTGAGCACCATGAGCTAGAGGCCGACCCCAACCGAGGGGTTATCAAGAAGAAGAGGAAGGAAAGAGAAGGTCGAGGCCACGGCCACACCAACAAGGACAATAATGAAAAGAAACCATCGTCCCCTTTAGCAAGTATACACCACTCAACTCCACCTGAACGCATATACTCATGCAAGTAGGGAAGGAGGAATACATGAAGTGGCTGGCCAAAATGAAGAGGAACCCCAAAAGGGGTAACCCCAACAAATACTACAAATACCACCGCGGCACCGACCACGACACAGAGGACCGTTATGAGCTCAAAAACGAGATCGAGTCCCTTATCCACCGCGGGCACTTGAAGGAGTATGTTGGGGCGACGTCGACGCCTCGTCCTCACAGCAACAGCAACAGCAACAGCATTAAGCCGGGGCCCAAGCCCATCCTGTTCTATGACACCTTTGAGAAGATGAAGTTGATGCCGGATCGATTGCAGCCGGTCGACGTGCCACTAGTCGACTTCTTCGGGGCAGCCGTCAATCTACAAGGGAAGATCGTCCAACCAGCCACAGTAGGGACAAAGCCTCGGCAAGTCACCAGGATGACCGAGTTCTTGGTCGTGAAGATAAGCTCCCCATACAATTGCATCATTGGAAGGGCCGACCCTTCTTCATTGCAAGAATAGTCAAGGGGAACCAACAAGCAGCTAGACAGTGGTTTATGGCAGCACTAAAAGGCAAGAATAAAGAAGCTTTGCCGTTGGAGGGACTCGACCTCAAGGACGAACCAGCAAGCCAAGGCCATCCGGCCGAGAACCTCGTTTAGGTTCCCCTAGACGAGGCCGAGCCCGAGAAGATGATGTGTGTCGGGTCACACTTTCCGAACTGATAAGCTTCCTCAAAACTAACGCCAACGTCTTTGCTTAGTCTACTGCTGACATGCTAGGAATTGACCCCTCGGTAATTACTCATAGGCTAAGCATGGACCTGAGTTGTAGGCCAGTTCAGCAAAAGAAGAGGAACTTTGCACCAGAGCATTGGAAAGCCATCGAAGATGAGGTAGATATGCTACTCGACGTCAACTTCATACGAGTGGTACATTAACCTAAATGGTTGTCAAACGTGGTCATGGTTAAGAAAGCCAATGGGAAGTGGCAAATATGTATTGACTTCACAAATATCAACAAGGCCTACCCCAAGGACAGCTTTCCTTTGCCAAGGATTGATCACCTCGTCAATGCCACCACAGGATACGAGATGTTAAGCTTCATGGATGCCTTCCCGAGTACAACTAGATCAAAATGCACCCCGACGACAAAGAAAAGACCTCGTTCATCACCGAGCAGGGAACCTACTACTATAAGGTGATGCCTTTTGGACTGAAGAACATCGGGGCCACCTACTAGTAGTTGGTGAACAAGGTCTTCAAGGACCAGATGGGGAGTAACGTCTAAGCCTACGTCGACGACATGGTGATGAAGAACCTGAAAGCTAGCCAACACACAGACCTCGGCAAGACCTTTGAAATATTGAGAAAATACAACATGAAGCTAAACCCTAACAAGTGTGCCTTCGGCGTCACCTTGGGAAAGTTTTTGGGCTTCATGGTTACCCAACGAGGCATAAAGGCCAACCCTGAGAAAATACAGGCCATACTTGGCATGGAACCACCTCGGTCTATCAAGAAACCCAGAGACTCATTGGCTAAGTCGCAGCTCTCAATCGATTCATGTCAAAGTCAGCCAACCGCTGCATACCCTTCTTCCGAGTTATCAAGAAGCTAAAGGACTTCCAATGGACTAAAGAGTGTCAGAAAGCCTTTGAGGAATTGAAGTCCTACCTCGCCTCGCCTCCTCTACTCGCGTGGCCCCTCCCGAGAGAGACCTTGCTCTCATACCTCTTGATCGAGGACGCGGTCATCAACTCTATTCTGGTACGTGAAGATGGAATACAAAGTCCAATCTACTATGTCAATAAGATCCTCTGCGACACCGAGACCAGATACTCCGAGGTGGAGAAGCTATACTTTGCATTGGTGGTCTCGGCTAGGAAGCTAAGGCCCTACTTCCAGGCTCATAGCATTACAATACTAACCAGCCGACCCCTCTAGTCAATACTCTCCAAACCAGAGACCTCGGGTTGGCTGACCAAATGGGCCATCGAGCTGCCAGAGTTTGACTTGCGCTACCAGCCAAGGCCCGCAATCAAAGCACAAGCATTGGCAAACTTCTTAGTGGAATGCACCTTCAACAGCACCCTCGGCCAAGCCCCCGAGGAGGATGAAAGGCCTTGGCCTACCTGGAGATTGTGGATGGATCCTCCAATGCCAAAGGAAGCAGAGCAGGCCTCATACTTCTCACCTCAGATGACAGTGAGGTGGAATATGTGCTACGGTTCGACTTCCTTGCCCCCAACAAAGAAGCCGTGTACAAGGCCCTACTTGTCGAACTACAGCTCACCAAGGACCTCAATGCCAAGCACATTGAGGTTTGCAATGACTCACAGCTGGTTGTGAACCAAGTGAATGGGGAGTACGAAACCAGAGAATCAAACATGACTAAGTACTTGGCTAAGGTTCGGGAGCTAACCAACCACTTCCAACACATTGCCCTGCATCGGGTCCCACAGTCCAAGAACGCGAGAGTCGACACCCTATTTTAACTGGCAAGCAGCTCGAAGTCGGCCCTTGGCCGCACCGTACATGTTGAGAAACTTGCACAGCCCAGCATTGAAGAGAAGCAGTTGTACCCCGTCCAAGCCTAGTCCTACTAGATGGATCCCATCCTCGCCTATCTACAGCACGAGCAGTTGCCCTTCGACAAGAATGAAGCAAGGAAAGTCCAACGGCAGTCAACGCATTACACCCTGCTCGAAGGCAAGTAATACAAAAGGTCCTTCACCTTGCCTTACCTTAGACGCTTCCGCCGAGAGTAGGGCGAGTACGTACTCTAAGAGATCTACGAAAGCATCTACGGCAACCACCTGTAAAGTAGAGCTCTAGCACAAAAAGCACTAAGGCAATGATACTTTTGGCCGACCATACAAAAGGATGCCGCCGAGCTAGTGCAAAAATGTGATCGATGCCAAAGACATTCTAACATCCCTCATCGGCTTGCCACGACCCTCTCGAACCTCAACAACCCATGATCCTTTGCGAAGTAGGGAATGGATCTCCTCGGACCATTCCCTCAAGCCACTAGGAACAAGAAATACCTCGTCACGATGGACTACTTCAGTAAGTGGGTCGAAGCCGAGCCCTTAGCAACCATCACGGCTAAGACGATCCAAAGCTTCTTCTAGAAAATCATCATTTGTCGTTTTGGCATCCCCCACATGCTTGTCATAGACAATGGCCAGCAATTCGACAACGCAAGGTTTAGAGAATGGTGTACAAGTCCTGGAATAAAACAGCAATACACCTCGATCAACTACCCCCAAACCAATGGGTTAGCCGAGGTCACCAACAGAACCATCCTAGAGGTATTGAAGACAAGACTGGACAAAGCCAAGGGACTTTGGGAAGATGAGCTATACAACATCTTATGGACCTATAGGACAACACCTCAAACCATCACAGGTGAGACCCCATTCAACTTGACATATGGGACCGAGGTTGTCATCCCAACAAAGATCGGCCAGTCGATGCTTCGGACCGATGGGTTCCATGAAGCTGAGAACGATGATGAGTTAAGAAACAATCTAGACCTGTTGGAAGGCATCCAAGAGTATGCTCAAATCAAGGCCACGCCCTATCAGCAAAGAGTTGCCAGATACTACAACTCCCGGGTGAGAGAGCGTCACTTCAAGGAAGGTGACCCCGTCCTCAGGAAAGTCATGGTGTCTAAGTTCGGCGTTGGAAAACTTAGCGAAACTGGGAAGGGCCCTACAGAGTCAAGCAAGTGGTCGGCCTCAACACCTTTCAATTGGAATACATGAGTGGAAGGCCAGTACCTCGTACTTGGAACTCTAAGAACCTCCAGATATACTAATGATGTAAAAATGATTAGTGAAAGTTTTGATAATAAAGTGTGCAAGTTCCTCTCACCTCGACTTTGGCCACTTTGGTGTATATGTTCTTGTCTCCCTCAAACGCCAAGACCCCTCAACCAAACGACTGGCCGCAGCATACAACCTTCACCAAAATTAAACGCTCGGACTGAACGTCAGCCCAAGGCACACGACCCTCGGAAGGTCATACACCTAGTCACCTTTTAACTAAGGCAAGAACTTGTGGGACCTCGGCCATCAAGTGGCCTTTGGCATCGGCCTAACACTCAACATAAAGCACCGGCGAACAAACACAATAAAACATTAATGTTATCTCACTAAGGCAAAGAAATTCCACGACCTTGGCCAAGCCCCATTCGTTGGGCCTCGGCCATGCACGTGTCCAGTCTCCAAACCCTTAAGGAAGACAATGTCAGGCCAACTAAGGCAATCGCCTCCCAAGACCTCGGTGACGAGGGTCGGCCTCGGCTTAGCAACCTTAAGGATAACGCCTTTGCGAGGAACTAAGCCAGGACTTACAAGTTTTTTACAACTTATGCCTCTTCGAGGGGGGCATCAACCCCTTGCATAAATTAAAAAAAAAAAGACAAAAAGAAAACAAGAAAGGCACTACTAGTTAGACAAAAAACTTGATATTTTCATTAACTCGGCTCTTTACAAAAAACCGGCCTCTAATGGGGGAGGCCAAGCCCCTTATAAAAAGATGACAAAAGAAAAAGGCAAGGCATTGTACGAAGGAAAGAAAAAAGCAAAAAGTTGTACGAAGGGAGCCTTGGCCCTACGCAAGCATCTTCACATAGTCTCGATGTTGATGCGCTCGTTGGTCGCCTCTGGTTGTGCATGCTGCTCGTCACCGCCATGGCCCTCGGCTAGCTCCACCGCCTCGACTGGCCCCGTCGCCTCGGCCACTTGTTGGCCTGAAGGCTGGACCCACAACTAGCTAACATCGAAGTCTAAGAGAAGCGCCAGCACCTGAGCATTAGTGTCTTTGGTGCCCTCCAAGTATGAATCGACACCAAACCGGGCCATCTCTTCTTTGTAGGCCTCAAAGCCCTTGTACTCTTCCACAGCTTGAGTCGAGGCCTCTTGCAACTTCTGCTCCACCTCCTTAAGCTTTTCCCCCACCTCATCCAAGGAGATCCTTGCAGCCCTAAGTTGCTCCCTCTTCACCATCACCTCGGCCTTGAGCTTCTTTCAGCGGCCGTGCTCCCCACGAGCCACCTCGACAAAGGCCTCGTCTAACCCACTCCTCGGCCAACTGGCACTTCAACTGTTCGTTCTCCTCTTGAGAAGACTAGAGTTGTTGCAACAAGACATCCACTTTGCCGCAAAGGGCGACGATGCAGGAAGACGCCTGCAGAGACACAAAGAGCAAACCTTCATCAACTGAAAAAGGCAAAGTAAAAAGGAGCAAACCATTGAGTACAGGAAGATCAAGTCTTACCTTGGCCAGCCCGTCCAGCAGAGTGTCCCGAACCCCCTGGATGGAGACCTAGGTCCAAGACTGCCGATCCCCCGTCAGAAGCATCCCTGTCACCAAGGCTCGACCGACACCAAGGTTGCTAAGGTTGCCGCCCTCCCTAACATTCCAATTAAGGTGAAAGAGACTGCGTGCGGCCAACGGTATGTTTTCGTAGGGGTCGGACAAGTGAGGCCCCAACTGTCGAGAGCCTCTGGCAACACCCTCTGTTAGGCAGTCCCTCATTGCCAACCTCTTCGCCCTTTGAGTTTGAGGGGCTTCGGCCGGTCGTTTGGGCGTTGGCCGACCTCCTCTTGGCCTCAGCCGGCGCCTTCGCCCGAGGTGGTTCCTTCCCAGCGGGCCTCTTCAAAGGCCCCCTCAGTCGGGCCCTTCTTAGAGTTCGCCCTGGCCAGCTACATAAACTTGTCCTTCATGCCACAATCCAGTTCTACAACAAAGAACGTGTTAGAAGGACAAAGAAAACGAAGACAACGATGTACCTAGCCGACAACGGGAGTGCCTATACCGAGGGGGTAGGGTTGAGACTCGCCCAATGTTTTAAAAGCGCAAGGCGCAAAAAAGGCACAAGAACCATTTTGCGCCTAAGGCACGCGCCTTTTTGAAGCAAGGCGCACAATTTAAAAAAATCAAAAAATTATAAAACATAATATTAATAAAAATATTAACTTAAATTTTAAAATAAATGTTTTCAAAAACCTATTATCTAAAATTAAAATACATAAATATAGTATGTAAAGCATATTCAAATGAGAATTTAAAAATGAAACCAAACATACAAAACATTTTCAAGCATATAAAACCCACAATCTTTTTTTTTCTCAATTGCATCAAGTAGCTAATGTGATATAACATTCCTAATTTTACGAGCCGCCTTTGTGCCACACCCCTCGAGGCAAGCCCAAACAAGTCCATGTTAGGGTCTTAAATTCTTAGATTTCACACAAAAAATAATAATTTTATAGTTTAAATTGCTTTTAAGAAGATATTTTATTAAGATGAATGAATGGACATTACCAAATAGGGGGTTCTTGAAGCTTCGGTGAGCGAGCGAACCCTATTTGGTAATGTTGTCCATTCATTCATTTTAATAAAATATCTTCTTAAAAGCAATTTAAACTATAAAATTATTATTTTTTGTGTAAAATCTAAGAATTTAAGACCCTAACATGGACTTGTTTGGGCTGGCCTCGAGGGGCGTAGCACAGGTGTTTGGCCCAACGGCCCAGACTTAAAAAAAGGGAAAAAGCAGCAAATTTTCAAAAGGTGCACGCCTGGGCTAAGGCGCAAGGCGCACCAGGCATGCGCCTTTTGAATGGGCTGCGCCTAGGACTCGGGCAAGGCGCCTACCCTAAATCACTAGACAAGCCTACACCAAGGCTTCCTCCGTTACTAGGGGCTCGGTGTGAATCATCCCCATCAATCGTATCTGAGTCATCATGGCAAACTCCCCATTATTGTATGGCCTAATCCTCTCGGGCAAGGAGTTCGGCATCCCCCAGTCAAACCGAAAGGACCATCCCTCTAGACAAGAGATGAAGAAATACTTCTTCCAGTTGTGGAAAGACGACGGGTTGTCCACCACCCTACCCTGTCGGCCCTAGAAATACCACAAATCGTCCCCCGTGGGATGCTTCCTTAAGGAGAATAGACCCTGAAAGATATTCAAGGTCATGGACACACCTCAAAGGCGACCCATGACTAGCATAGTCACTATGATCCTAACCGCATTCTGAGCAAGTTAGCTGAGGGAGATATTGTAGTAATTGAGGAGTTTTGGGATGAGATGAGGCAAAGGGAAACGGAGGATAAAGTGGAGGTAGTGCTCATGTACATACACCTCCCTCTTGGTTGGCCGCCACAGCCAGTCACCAATACTAGGGAATCTAATCCTATAGCCCCCGGGTATATGATACATCTCAGAAAGAGTCATCACTTGCTCCTTGCCGAGCTCACTGTCAAGATCAGAGCGGGGGAAATGCATCAGCGTCATGCCTCAGCCTTCGGCCTCGACAAGCTCCTAATGGCGTCGGCCACTTTAGACTGCAATGGGGCATTCCCCAATGGCGTCGGCCCTCGGTCTTGTGGAGCTAGTACTTTCATCGGGAGAATCCCTGCCCTGCCGGTCGCGCTCGACTCCCCAGGGGCAATCCTCTCCCTCAGTACCAGACGCCCGAGGGGAGCTCTCAGATTCATTCATGTCACTCCCATGGCAAGGTCAACTATAAAAAGGGGTGCCCATATCAAGGTAAATCCATCTTGCTCACACTTGCTCTCTTGCATTTAGAATCTCGAGAGACCTCCTCTGAGCTCTTAAGGACTAAGCTTTGAGCTCTCGTCTCACGCCTAGTCCGACCCCTCTTTAGCACCTAACTTGACTATCAGAGTCCTCACCCCTGGGATAACACCCGGGGCCTCTAACGTGTTCTCTTCTACTTCTCATAGGTCTGACCTGTCGGCCTCGAACGTCATTGCCCTCAGCCCCATCTTTGGCAGCAACAATATCTCTTCCATATCATATCATAGTCGAACCCTACCATGAATATTGTTTGAAACTTGACAAAAAGACATAACCCTACAAAGCTTAGTAGTTAAATATATAAATCAGAAAAAGACAAAAATTTTCTTACAACCTTTGGAGGAAGGAAGTTGTTTTCCATCCTTTTCGTAGTACTCCCTTAACGAAACCAAAGTCTTCCCTCTGAAATCTTGGATTGTCACTCTTCTCTTGTTGGATAGCTGCAAGAGACACACCGTATTAGATTTTACATAACACAGTTATCAGAGAAAACAACAACTAACCGGCCGGCCAAAGAACTAAAATAAAATACAAAAAAGGACTGAAGTGTCACGACTCACTCAAATCCCTCGTGCAAACTGAATAGGGTTTAAGATAGATGGTTATGGTAAAAGGTTCAATTAATTTTTAAAATAGAAAGCGGGATTTTATGAAATGCTTTTTTGGGGCTTAGAAAGGCATGCTTACTTTGCAAATGATGAGATCTCCATCATCATCGTACTCTTTCGCAGAGTTTCTCGACTTCCTTTCCTCTTCTTCCTCCTCTTGTTCACCTTCTTCTTCTGCCTCCTTGGTTTCTTCATCCGGTGCTGTGCCCTTAACCTGCTCCTCTTCCTCCTTCGATACGAGGAATGACTCCACGACGCGCCTGACGAAACGCTTGTATTCTGTACCAGAGAGGTCGATCCCGAGCTTCTCTGCAGCCGAGTTTCGAACCTTGAACTCCGTCATCGCATCCATGTCCGAGCTTCTTAAGATCTCCAACACCGTTTCTTCGATTTTATGTTGCGTTTCGGGGTCCATTTCAGGCAAAAATTGAAAGGGAGAATGAGAAAGAGAGAGAGAGAGATTGAGAGATTTTTCGGCAATCGGCTTTCGATACGGTGACGACTTGGTTTTGGCTTTTTGTTACCAGACCGGAATACAATTTCTTTCGTGGCTTCCTGCCAACGTCGCGATTTAGGGCAACGACGCAACGTACTCCGCTTAGTACCATGTTGACAGCTGCACTCATTTGTGCACCATTGATTGTCCAATGGAGTAAACAATCTGAATATCACACTTGGACCCTTTTGATTGGAATCTAAATACATTTTTGTATAAATCAACTTAACAAATTTGACTTATGATTTCATTTTGCTTTTTGCTAGTACGAATTAGTCATTACTAGGCGTTAAAAAAATGAAAATGAATGCTGATCGTGGATTAATGACAAATTTACGGGCAAAATGCAATTGATTGGGAAGGTTACTAATAGACTATGGAGGTTGTAATTTTAAAATTCTAAAGTAGGCTGTAGTATACTTTTCCGTAAAAAAAAAAAACGGAAAAGTACGGACAAGCTTAATGCAGACTTCTGATTTTTACCGCAAATCTATAAACATTCAAAAAGTCAAAAAACTACATCTTATGCACTTATATCCGCCCGTGAATTAGCATCAATTCTGAACTAGCACTTACTTCAACTGTACTTTGTGCATATGAATTCTGACCCTGGGCTAAAACGTCATTCTCCCTAAAAAAAAATAGTCATAAGTCATAACTAGGCATATCAATGGTCAAGTTCGACACGGATTTGCCTCAATCCTAGCCATACCCTCCAATGCTCAGTTTGAATTAAAAATAACTTCCGAACCTGACCCAACTCTATAGGGTCTAACTTGATATCAATCCGATTTGATTAATAACATTTAACTTAAGAAATTGTTTCATAAATTTTAAGGTGTTGTTTTTCCATAAGAAAAAAAAATGGGCTTCTAGCAGATAAGGGCAACTTTTTGCCTTGAATATCAATAAAAAGTAATATTTTTATAAAATAATTAAAATATGATAACTATTTTAGAAAAATATTGAAAAAGGGCATTAATATTGTTCATTGTCTTCCTCTGCTGCTCTCTCAACAGGAAGATGGAATGATATTTTTGCCTTGAATAAGGGCAGTGGTTGAAGGTTGTTGTAGCGGTTGAAGGTTTTCTTGCAAAGGTGACACGAAAAATATGTGTAGCCGATGAGTATCTGCACGAGAGTCAGTATCCAATACTGGGTACCCACACCTATAGCAATATTTCTGTCTTCCACCATATCGTTTGGTTTCGTGTACGTGGAGCAACTCGAATTATTAGGCAGCCCAATGTGTAAGTGTAACGCTACGGTAATGCCATTCCTGTCTTCATTGCCGACCATCTCATGATCTTCATCTACCGCTAGTGTGGCCAGCCGAAGCAAGCAACTAAGTAATGGTAGAGGCTCTGTAGAGTTTTGGGTTGTATTATTTATGTCTGGACAGAGAGCACAAGTCTCATTATCCTTAGCAAAAGAGTTAGCCACAGGGTTTGAGTCATCACGACAATCTACAGAAGACTCCAAGTTTAATACTTTAATTCTGATATGATGTATCTCTATCTACACTACTCTTCACAGACTACACTTGTCTCAAAATCTCAGCATATATATGTTTGCATAAATTAAAGATCACAGTGAAAGTGCAGGAAAAATTGCAACGTTTCAATATTATTACAGATCCCTCAAACGAATGCAAGATCAACGGCCCACTGCTCTCAAACGAATTGGGATTGCTGTAAAATATTTTCTTGGGTGAAAAAAGAAAAGGAAGACGATGAACACAAAGCCATTGCCCTTATTCAAGGCAAAAATATCATTCCATCGTCTTTCCCTTGAGAGAGCAGCAAAGGAAGATGATAAACAGTATTAATGCGCTTTTTTGATATTTTTCTAAAAAGTTACCATATTTTAATTATTTTATAAAAATATTACTTTTTATTGATACTTAGGGCAAAAAGTTGCCCTTATCTGCTAGAAACCCAAAAAAAATCAAAATCAACATGTAAATAAATCTAAAACTTTAAGATTATAGAGTTAGAAGTCAAAATGTTACGAGAACAATTTTATATATGTATATATTATATAAATATATAACTGTTTAGTCAAAAGTTAAACCTAACTCGGGTCAAAAAACCAAAACACTAATCCAACCATAAAGCCAAATATGTCTAACCCTAACTCAATCCTATAGGGTCGAATCCAGTCAAATTTACCATTTAACCCAACCCATTGGCATCCCTAGTCATAACCAAGCCCATAAAAAAGGCCTTAAATCATATCATATCTAAACATTAGCAACTACCATCCAAATCACATCACACATGCATATAATCATAACCGGCATACACTTGGCCTCACCATCACTAGCAAAGCTACATTTGAATTTTGGTACAAAATTAAAAAAAAAAAACAAGTGTTAGAAAATGACTATAGTTTATTATGAGCTATGACTTACGATAGATATTTCTTGAGCGGCAAACAATATAGAGGAGATGAAGAATAAAATTTTCAAAAAACATAAAATAATGTTATTAAGGTTTTAAGTCTTTCTGATTAAGATTAAGTGAAATGATTATCTTAAAAGAAATACATGATACTATGTGGTTGGAATTATACAAATATCATGCATCTAAATAAATCAATGTATGTTATATATTACATATAACATATATTTATATATGACATGTATTACAGAGTCGGGTTCAGATTGGGTCGGGTTGGCTAAGGGGTCAACTCTAACCCAAGTTGAAGTAAAGTCGGGTTCATGAATTTCAACCCTAACCCTAACCCGAACATCAATCCGACCCAACCCAACCCAAGTTGCAGCCTTAACCCCTATTATCAAATTCAGAATTTAGTACGCGAGAGGGAGGGATTTTATGCAACAGCTTATACTTTATATCATGTTGAGAAACCCAAAACAAGTCGTATTTCAGTAGAATTAGGACAACCAAAAGTAGACTTATATAAACCGTACATATAATTTACCTCGAGCGGCATAATCAACGCAAAAGCCCTCCACAATCTCTTATAAAGTTCTGATAAATGGCTCTTCAATGAGATAATTTATTCACAGAGACCCCCTTTCTCCTTGCTTTTTATTGCTGGTATCAAAGTCCTTTTCGATTAACATTTGGGCCAACCGTCAAGAAGGAAACTTAACAGGCATAAGGTGAGCAAAGATGCACCCCTAATCACCCATTTGTGGTAGTGAAATTTTGAAAATCCTATACAAGTACAGTGTAGCTTCGAGTCAGAAAGTCAATTCCAAGTTCCAAAGGATCCTGGCTATGGTACTAAAGATGAAAATGGTAAGCAAATCGAGTGTTTACCTTGGACTATTAGTGGAAATTCAAAGATCTAAGGTTAAAACCTTTGATTTTGTAATCAACAAAGTGACAAGGAGGGAAAAAGGGTGGAAAGAAAAATTCCTCTATCTAGTTGGCAAGGAAATCTTAATCAAATCAATGATGGAATCACTGTCAGTTTAGCTTCATTTTTCCCCAAAATGTTTGCAATTCTATTTCTAAGCTCCAGAGAAAATTCTGTGGGGTGTCTCAAACAACAAATAAAAAATAGCCTAGATTAAGTGGACCTTGCATTGTAGGAACAAAAATGATGGTTGATTGGGATTCGAGGATCCCTACATTTTTAATCTTGCTCTCCTGGTTAAGCAATCTTAGAGAATCCTCACCAATCCATCTTCCAAATTTACAAAGCCAAATATTTTAAACATGAAAATTTCTTGGAAGCCAAAGCTTCAAAAGAAAGCTCTTGGGACTACAGGAGTCCTTGTGTATGCAAGGAAATTCTTCAAAAAGGTTGTTATTGGAAAATTGGAAATGGTGAAAAGGTAAATATTTGGAAAGACCCTTGGCTCCTAAACTCTCCCAACTTCCAGATTCAAATGGACCAACCAAATGGCAGTAATGTGGAGCTTGTCTTAAACTTATATCTTAGGATAATAACTCATGGAAAATCACAGTGATCATCAGATAAATTTTCCCACCCCGGATAATTACAGAAATCAGCTGAATTTATCTTCCATGTTTCAATCAAAGGGATAGATGGCGTTGGGCCTTAGATAGAAGGGGTAGGTTCTCTGTTAAATCGGCTTATAGAGTCCAAAAGAATGTGGTGGATGGTCTTTCATTTGGCACCACCTTAAAGTTCCCCAAAAACTGGAATTAAAAATCTCTACCCTTTGTGTGAGACTAGGATAGAATCAATAAGTTATGCTTTGCTTTACTGTCTTGCAGTCTAAAATATCTAGTTTGCCTCTCCTTTAAACCCAACTGAATCTGATTCAGCCAACAAATTCTGATGGCGGATTTCTGGCGGCTCTTTCAATTTCAAACATGCCTAGGTCTCCAATCTTCTCGGAAGCTTTTGTTGTATTGCTGAGTTGCCAGATATCCCCACATATATTTGGTTTCTTTTTAAAGACATTTTACATTTAGCTAATTTGTTTTCTGCTATCAGTTGGAACTTTGTTAAGACGGACTGTAATGGGGTGGCTCACCAGTCACTTCCTAGTCTGTCAGAAATATCGAAATGAGTCTGGTTAGCCCCCCTTCCCAGACGGCTCCTTAACCAGCCATGAGCTATCCCTCTAGGGAGTAAGTGGAAAGTATTCACAATTGTATGAGCTCCTCTGTTTTCGGCAGTAATGGTAATGCTTAATGATTTTACCAAAAGAAAAGTGATAAACTCAACGTGCATGGAGTGTCAATTTTTAAATCCCTTATTATTTGGGTTGTAAAAAAAGAACCCAGGAATCCAGATTTTTGCAACATCTCCCATACTTTGTATGTTATTGATGAATCAATTTTTTGTACTAAGTACCTCATCATTTGGTCTGCTTCCAAGTGGCCGATGACTGAGAGGCCGAAGTAAACTTTTGCTGGATGAAGACCTGAATGCCGGGTTGACCAGGCCGAGCTGGGGGCATATTAGGTGCTGAGCTGACTGAGCCGAGCTGAACAGGTTAGGTGTCGAACTAACTGGGCCGAGCTGGACAGGTTAGGTGCCGAACTAACTGGGCCGAGCTGGGCAAGTTAGGTGCCGAACTGACTGGGCCGAGCTAGGCAGGTCGGGCCC